TCGAGTCTTTTGATTATCTTTATGTGCCTAAAAGCATGTAAAATTCATTTAATTATTTTAGTTTTAATATGTATACTTTTATCAGCCCTGAGACGAAAAAAAAAAAAATAATTTAAGAGAAAATTAAAATTCTGATTTTCTTCATATTTAACGAGTCCATTTAATTGTTTTTAAACATGAATGTTTGCCAAAATAATTTATAAAACAAATGGATAAAAAATATTTGTATAAATCATGATTTAAGGAAGCAAAAAGAAATTGGACTGGAAAGAGATATTTTTTCTTGAGCAGCGCTGCCTTTATGTTACTTTCAAAAATCCTCAAAGGTCAGTTAACACATTATTTAAAAAATGGTGTCTGTACTCTTAAATTTGGTTACAGTCAGATCCATTAGTCAATAGAAATTGTAATTATTTCGATCAAAGCAATAAGGAGGTTTTGGAAATTCATACTATACAAGATGTGATATGCTGAAAGGAGAAGGACAGATTGGACTTCAACATCTTGAACTTGATACAAGGATATATAATTTAAATTATGGTACTATTCATAGTTAGATGTGGAATACCGATATTTATGAAAATTGTTACCATGTCCACAATTGATTGATATAGCAATTTTTAAATTTGGCATTAAAAAGTGTTTTTAAAAATCCTGATTGATATTGTACAAAAAGTACTTAATATTATAAATTTGTTATGAGGATCGATATTGGTATTTAGGATCCAAAATTAAATTTTCGAAATTTTTACTTTATATAGCAATATTTTGATTGACATACATATCGATGCTCAGCCATATGTTAGTGGTATGAAGAGCTGAAATATTGAAAATTGGAAATGAAAAAGTAAGAAAATGTAGTAGAATTCTGAAATTCGGAGCTGAGATCACTGTTTGCGTGTTGGATCAAGATACTGTTGTATTTTTGGAAATTCGAACTATAATGGTACAAAATATAATGGATATAATGGATAGTCTGTATAGTCTGTATTTTAGAAAATTAAAATAAAGTTGTAACAAGTGAAATAGCAGCCAAAGTTCGCTTTACTACCCTCCACCAATTTGAAGGAAAATAAAATATTAAAAAAAAAAAACGAAAACTACCACTGAAATGAAAACCGCTATATGAGGACTATACGAAGACGTCGACCTGCATACGATTTTTTTTTGGCATAGGCTTTAGTGCCCATTACGAACTTCAAATATGGTGTATAATGTCGAAAAAATCAGGAAAATACGGAGCATCGGGAGTTACCGTCATATGGAGGCTATACGAAGACGTGGACCTGCATACGAATTTTTTTGCCATCAGTTATAGTACCCATTAAGATCTTTCAATACGAAATTTGAGACGATTTCGGTGACAAATCTTGCTGAAATCGTCAAAATACCTACTATCGGGAGGTACCTTTATATGCATATAAAAATTTTTGTCATTACGAACTTCAAATACGAAATTCGAAATAATTCCGGTAAATAATATCTCTAAAATCATGAAAATACCGAATATCGGGATGAACCGTTATATGGGGGCTATACGAAGATCTGAACCAGCATACAACATTTTTTGCCATAAGTTGTAGTACCTACTAGGATCTTCCAGTACGAAATTTGAAACGATTTCGGTGAATAATGTTGCTGAAATCATCAAAATACCGAAAATCGGGAGGTACCGTTATATACGAAGACTTGGACCTGCATCCAAAATGTTTTTCATCGGCTGTAATACCCATTACAAACTTCAAATAAGAAATTTTAAATAATTCCGGTAAACAATGTTGCTAAAATCATGAAAATACCGAATATCGGGAGGTACCGTTATATGGGGCATATACGAAAACGTTGACCGACATGGCCCATTTACGAACTTAACCTGCCTACTGGTAAACTATGCATGTATGCAAAAAAGACGGACAGACAGACAGACAGACGGACATCGCTAGATCGTCTTAGAAATTTACGCTGATCCAGAATATATATACTTTGTAGGGTCTATTATGAATATTTCGAGGAGTTACAAACTGAATGACAAAGTTAATACACCCTCCATAGAATGGTGGAGGGTGTAAAAAGCACTTCTAGGAATTTCACTGTTGCGATAGTACATAGATGTATCAGGTTTTGTATAAATATTCCTAAACAAGCATTTTCATAAATATCACTGGCTATGATAACGTAATGGACTTACGAGTCTTGCAAATTTGATTCAAAAAAGACAAATACATAATACTGAACTACTAGTAAAGAAAAGTATGTATAATAAATTATTGTTGGTGTGTGGAAATGGGGATCATGTCTGATATCTATGCTAAACATGTACAAAATATTAAACCATTTGAATTCGGTAAAATAATGGAAAAAACTTTGATATATGGCTTTAGAAATTTGAATCATAAATGTGAGAAAGGCATTAGATTTTTATAAGGACCTCTATTAATGAGAGACTATTTCGATGTTCTTCTTTAAATTTCACGAAATCTTAGTGGCATTGTTAGTGGACTATCTACTGAGCTCAGAGGAACTTTGATATCATTCAATTCTTTCTGGTTAGACTACACATTTCGAACTCCGAGTCCAACAACCAACTTTAACATGTTGCGTGGTAGTTTTGGGTTTCAAACCCCAACAAGTTTTTCTATTGTCGAGAAAAAGCAAAAACAAAAAAAAAATCTGCAAACTACTTTAAGCTTGTATTGTAAAGTATTGTTGTACACCTTTTGTTGAACAATTGTAATCGTCCCTATTATTACGAGAAAATCTCCCAAGAGTAGGCTTTAGAACTGCTTAGCTGTTGATGCGCTTTTTACCAATGCACTCCAGATAAAGAAGTCTCTCCTCCCCACACAACAATTGTTATATTGTATTTACTATTGCTATTGTTCTTAACTTCTCTTTTTCGTTCGCCTGTTGTGTCTTTGGTTCTTTTTTACTCCAATTCTTTTATTTAAGCCTTCATTTAGTATGAATGAGTGTTTGGGGCAAAAATGAAAAACTATTATGCGGGCATAATAAGGAGAACTGTGCATTATATTGAAAGTAATGATGGAGAACACCGGCTTTCAGGGATATTTAAGGATTCTGTTTAAGAGTCAAGCTACTCCTCGAAAACAAAATATTTGTATTTAGTCAGACAATGTTTAAAAATATTTTATTTTTTTAAAGCTTCTGTCCCAGAACAACTGGGAGTCATTTCGCTGTTCCATTTTTTGAAATATTAAATTGTGTATTGCATATATCTAGGGGCTCCCCTGTCGATATATTTTCCAGCTTTTATTTATGGCTTGCTCACGTTGTTTCCGGTATTTTATAAACAAAACCAACACAAGTACACATGTCTTCCGGTTAAATGACAATCTGTTCTACCGGAGGTAAAGTATTGTGGATGAATGCGACCACGAATGAATGAGCAAAGAAATATTTTTCACAGATACTAGGATCGAAAAATATAATTTTGATTAAATTTTTTATTCGTCTTTAGTAAATACCTTAAAAAATCCATGATGATGGCACAAATATTGATGAAAACATCCACTTTAATATATTTCCCGGTCGTTCATAAAGTATGCTCTAAAAATTCACGATAATGAATCTATTTGATCCCAAACCCTTAAGTTCCTTCTATAAACATCAACATCTGTATATTTAATAACGTATCCTTTAAAAATCTATGATTATGGATAATCCTTTACAAATTTTTGACTAAAATCCAAGATTATGAGTCCGATGACCTTTTAATCATTTGAATAAAAATTTAAATACAAGTATATATGTTGGCCCTGGAGAAAAAATCTTCAAAAATTCAAGTTTAATGATCTATCAGTTCTTGAGAAAAAAATCTATGAAAATCCATGTTTAACAAAGTGTTTATCTTTCAGGAAAAATTCTTTAAAAATCCACGTTTATTAAGCTGTTGGTCGGTAAAAAGTACATTAACAACCCGTATTCCTTGAGAGCAAATTCTTTAAAAACCATGTTTAAAAATCTGTTGGTCGGTTAAAAGAAGTTCTTTAAAAATCCATACTTCAAAAATCGATTTTCCTTAAAAAAAAATATAAAAACAACATTAAAGGGATTAAGCCTGACCATTTTGTAACAACAAAATTTTTAAAAATCCACGCTGGACCTTGAGAAAGAATTTCTTAAAAATCCACGTTGGGCATTCAGAAAAATTGTCTTAAAAACCACTGTTGGTCGTTAAAAAAAAAATCTTATAAATCCACGCTGGCCATTGATAAAAAAATCTTAAAAAATCCACATTTCAGAATCTGTTGGTCGGTGAAAAGAAGTTCTTTACAAATGCATTTTCCTTGAGAAACCATTTCTTAAAAATTCCCATTTAATAATATGTTGGTGGGCGCAAAAAAGGTTTTTTAAAAATCCATTTTCCATGAGAAAAACATTTTTTAAGAATTCATTCTTTGAAAAAATTTTTAAAAAATCCACGTTGGTCTTTGGATGAAGAATGTTTAAAAAACACGCTGGTTCCTGAAAAAAAAATTTCCTAAAAAACCACGTTTAATAATCTGTTGGTCGGTAAAAATAGGTTTATAAACATCCATTATTTGAAAATCCATTTTCCTTGAGAAAAAAAAAATTAAAAATCCACTTTGGTCCTTTATAAAGAAACTGTTTTAAAACCCACGACGGTTCTTGATACGAAATTCATTTAAATTTGAAATATAATAATCTGGTGTCCTTTTGAAGAAATTTTTTTAAATTCCACGTTGATGTTTGAGAAAAGGATATACAAAATTCTGGATTGATGCTTAACAAAAAAATCTTAATGAATTCTTGCTAATTTTTTTTAATATACGTTAATTAATCTGTTTGTTCTCGAGATAAAGTCTTTAACAATCCACGTCTAGACAAAACTTATTTATCTTCAGAAAATAACTCCTCCTTCTATTAATTTCATTTCATTTAAAATATTTCGTTTGTACTCACCTTTTCTCTTAACATGTCTTGTATATGGCCAGCTTGATTTTTTGAACGATGTAATTCTAATTGGAGCTACAAGCAGCGCTCTTGCCAGTTGATGTGAAGCGGAAAATCATGTGATCTATTTCAGCCCAATCATTGCCAACGCGGGTATTTAAACCTACCTCCGGTACATCCTGCGTATAGTTATTGACCTGGTGAACATCCAAATATTCGGTCAACGTTGAAAAATGAGGCCATGGGGCTTCAGCACCATCCAGTGATGCAGCTGGATTCACTTGCTGTTGTTGTTGAGATTGTTGATCTTTTAACGTGACATTTTGGTTTGAGACACTGGGAACCGTTTTGCGATGTTGCTAATACCGCTGCGCCGCTACTGGTGGTCTTAGCCGGTATGGGTGGTGGTTTTGGTCCGCCGAGGCATTAGATGTGGACTATTTGGTGTCGATTGGGCTGTAGCTTGGCTACGTTGGAAGGCAGCTGCCGGACTGCCCAAACCCGAATCCATTTGTTGGCGACTTAGAGGCATATTGCCGCTAAAGGAGATGGCCCGTTTGGTAAGCAATGGAGAATAATTTAAAGAATGCGAAGTTGCATATAGGGGTGGCAACGAATGCTGTTGCTGTTGTTGATGTTGCAATGGCTGTTGTTGTTGCACATAGGGCGACATCAAATGCCCCTGTTGATGATGGTGATGTGTGGCATATTGTCGTTCATAATGCTGTTGCTGTTGTTGCTGAAAGTAATGACTTTGATTTGCAGCCGATGGGAAGGTGTGCAAATAATTGTGTCCCTCCACACCACTCAGTCCAGCATCGCAGAAAATAATTATGAGTTTGAGTTAAGTACTGGTACTGGTGTTGGTATGCCTGATGTTGCTGCTGCTGCTGTTGATCATGGTGATGTGAACTACCGCTACTTCCAGCACTGCCCACACTAGCAGCACCCAATGAAGCTGGTGTTGCCCGACCCGATGTTGAGGGTGATGGAGAGGAGGAATTCCATCTTCTTCTTAGCAGCCATTGCTGTTGTTGTTGCTGCTGCTGGAGATAATGCTGCTACTGATGATGATGGGTGCTGCCCGGCTGCTGCAAGTTGGTAAGCGGATGAAAAATTTGAGATAATCTTGCCGAAGGCACTTCGTCGGACATTTAGGTGGATTTTTTGTTAATTACCTCTTTCTAAGATTACAAAAAACGGCTTTTGTAAAAAAATTGTTTAAACATTGACTTTAAGTTCACTGGTATTATGGTATCGAGCTCCAGACATTTTGTAACTGAAAAGTAAAATAGAATGGAAAATATTTAAATATTTTGAAAATTAAAAATATGACATGAAAATCAAATCAAACCATAAATTATTTTATAGGAGTCATGACTCCCTCTAATTAAAATAGTTTTTAGAAATATGAACTGAGCATTTAAAGTGAATTTTTAATTTAAGGAAGATTGACGGAGGATTAAGCATCGAGTTTAAAAAACATTGTTTAATATTTTTGCAAGTAATTTAGAATATTAATCGGGTACGTTTGAAGGTGGTTTTGGATTTGCGTATTAAGTGTGCGAATTTTTTAAATTTTGCATTGAGGTCTCCGTTGGGGGTTGGTTTATGATAAGGTGGTAGTTTCGGAAATGTGTGGTATAATGTACGAAAAGTACTAAATGGTACTAAATTACATATTGAGTAAATTACATATTGAGTAGTAGGAATTTCGAAATGCGAGATTGAGGTCTCGGTTAGTATCTGCGCTTGAAATATGGAGGAGCCTTTGAAAATGCGTACTATAACAGTAACAAAAGCACTAAATGATATTAAATTTGCGTTGAGTAAATGAATCCTGAAATTTGATCTTGAGTTCTCTGTTAGTATATGAGATTGAGATATGGTGGTGGTTTTGCAAATTTGTACATTAATTGCTCAAAAGTTGAAAATTGTTCAAAAATCTTCTATCTTGGATCTCCATCCAATTATTTGTAGATTATTTTGAATATGCTTACAGCATCGCACTAAATTTCCAGAGTTTGGTAATCACTACCAAATTTGGTATTGAAGCTCTGAAAATTTAGTACGATGCAGTTTTGATTAAAATTTTTTTCAAACTGAATTTGTGCATTCTGAGTACACAAACATTTGGAAAGACTCTAAAATGGTGGACTTATATCTGACAAAGTAGCGGGCACTTGCTAGTTTTAAATATTTTTTTAGGAATCACTGAAGCATTAAATTTTGTTTTTTAAAAATCTTTTCTAAAGCGGCGAACGTGTTTTTATACCCTCCACCATACGCAATATGGGGGGTAGATTAAGTTTGTCATTCCGTTTTTATACCCTACACCACAAGGTGGTCAGGGTATTATGTCTTTGTGCATTTGGAAACGAGATAGACCCATAGTTCCGTTTGATGATCTGCATAGAATCACTTTCTGAGTCACTTTATGTATGTCCGTCCGTCCGTCTGTCCGTCTGTCCATGTATTCTTGTGAACAAAATGCAGGTCACATTTATTATCCGATTGAGATGAAACTTTGCAAGCAACATTTGTTTGGCCCAAGGACGAAACCTATTGAAATTGGAGATAATCGGCAAAAATTTAGATATAGCTCCCATACATATCTTCGTCCGATTTGTCTTTTATTGTGCACTAAACGTGTAATATGTTGGTGTACAATGTATAACCATATCTTGTACTGTATATATATCTACCTTGTTTAGAAATGTAGTAGGCATTGATATGTATACATGTTTCATATGAAGCTTAAGACAGCTCAGGAATTTTGGAATGTTCTAAAGAAGCACCACGAGAAGTCAAATTTAACAAATAAAGTAAATCTTCTACGTCAACTGTCAACAAAGAGAATACAAGGAGGTCAGTCGATGGAAGAACATATCACGGAATTTATGGATATTGTGGATCGTTTAAATGACCTTGGTGAGGAAATTAGTGAGCACAAGACGGTGGCATTTTTGCTTGGAAGCCTGCCGGAGGAATAAAATTCTTTGGTTTCATCGTTGGAGATGCGTCCGGAGACTGATTTAACCGTGGATTTGGTAAAGGAAAAACTGCTTCAAGAATTTAAACGGAAATCTGAAGCTGCTCCAATGGCTGATACTGTTTTTAAAACGCAAAAGAAATTCAAGCCAAAATGTTTCTCATGTGGTAAGATGGGACACATAAAGAAAAATTGTCCGAACAGAAGACCGAATGTAAATCGAGCAAATGTTGCTGAGAATAAAGAAAATAAAAAATATTGTTTCGGTGTTACGTCGAAAAGAAAGGAACATAATTGGTTCATAGATTCGGCTGCAACTTGCCATATGTGCTGCGATGAAGGATCATTTTACAGATTGAATAAGCAACAAAATGATTCAATATATTTGGCTGATGGTACCGAATTAAAAGCAAGTGGCATTGGTGAATGTCGTGTGGTTTGTCAAAACAAAGAAATATGTGTACAAGGTGTTTTGTACGTTCCAGAACTTGATGGAAGTTTACTGACAGTAAGGAAATTGACAAATGAAGGTTACAAGGTGCATTTTGATTCGGATAGCTGTTCAATATTGATGGATGGTCAAGCTTGTGCTACAGGAAGTTTGAGGAATAATTTGTATATCCTTAATAGTAGTCAAATGGCGAATAAATTGTATTGTGACAAAGCGGAATGCATTCATATGTGGCATCGTCGATTAGGTCACAGAAATATTCAAGCGATCAAGACATAAAGAAATGTTCATGTTCGTCTGCTTGTGAGGTATGTTTACAATCAAAATTAACAAGAAAGTCTTTTCCAAAATCCGAAACTATTTTGGAAATAATTCACGCGGATGTTTGCGGACCAATGCAGAATACAACTCCGACCCAACATACCAAAATGGCTTGAGAATAATATTACAATAAGCTTATGAACATAAGCCTTAAGCTTGAGAAAATCTTGAGAAAACATTGAAAAATGTTTGTGTAACAAGTATAGAATAATCGAAACGGAACCCTTATTTATAAGCTTATACTTGAAATTGTAGAATAAGCTTACAAAAATAATATTAAAATAAGCTTATTTTTGTAATAGAATATAATATTATTTTTTTTTAATTTTTAATCATTTTTCACATTTTTTTCTTGATGGACATCCCAGTAGTCACTCCTTCATGTGGCCTTGATACCCTGACGCTTTCTTCTCCCTTATTTGAACTTCTGCATCTCTTCCACTAAGACTACACACATATTGAATTCCTTCAACTTTTTTGATGCTTCCAATCTGAAATGGGATTGGAATAATTTATGTGAAAGATTCCCGGATTTATTATTCATCCATACCTTAAGGGTTCGGTCCAGAAATGGGTTCTAAATTCGCATGATTTTGTTTTTTGTCAAAGAAAATAATTTCTTGCTGACAATTTTCACAAAAAATCAAAACTAATTTGTCAACAAGGGACAGATTTGAGAAATGTTTGTGGAACATAAGTGTTTCTCAAGCATTGTTGAAAAATTATATTTTTATAATATTGTTCTCAAGCTGTATTGTATTCTTGGTATGTTGGGGAGTGGTAATCGTTACTTTTTAACAATGATAGATGACTACAGCCGATACTGTCATGTTTATTTTTTAAAAACCAAAGATATGGTTTTTGATAAAATAAAAGAATTTGTTGAAATGACGGAAAATCAATTTGGTAAACGAATGAAGATATTAAGATCTGATCGTGGAGGTGAATTTTGTAGCAAGAAAATGGAAGGATATCTAAAATCAAAGGGGATAATTCATCAACTAACTGCTCCCTACTCTCCGGAACAAAATGGTGTAGCCGAAAGAAAGAATAGAAGTTTGATGGAGATGGCTCGCTGCATGTTGAATGATTCTGAAATTCATGTAAAATTTTGGGCGGAAGCTGTGAACACAGCAAGTTATGTTCAGAACAGGATCCCAACTTCCGTTGCAAATGTTACTCCTTTTTCACTATGGTTCAACAAAACACCAAGCTTAAGTCATATTCGAATTTTTGGATCGGTTGCATACGCACATATCAACAAACAAAAGAGAAGAAAGTTGGAGAATGTTGCGGTCAAATGCAATTTGGTTGGCTACTGTCATGAATCGAAAGCATATCGTTTACTCAACACTAAAACAAACGCTATTGTTATTAGTAGATATGTGGAATTTATTGAACCAGTCTGTAGTCACAAGGGTAGTGATTTAATTGAAGTTGAAAGAACGCCAGAGAATATGGTTAGTGTACCCTTGGAAGTTTCAAATTCTGATATGGAAAACGAAGGCATATCGAGTGGAGAAGAGGAGGAGGAATTTCATGGTTTTGAGTCTGCAGATGAAATGCTTTCTACATCATCTTCTGATGAATCACAACGAGAATTTCATGAAAATATTGCGTCAACTCACACTGCTGAAAGAAGAGTTTCAACAAGAACGAACAAAAGCGTCCCGCCCAAAAGATATGGGTGTAAAGTTTCCTATGCAAATGATCCTGTTTCTTACAAAGACGCTGTATCTAGATCCGACAGAAAGGAGTGGGTGAAAGCCATGAATGATGAAATCAAGTCGCTACATGACAACCAAACATGGGATCTTGTGGAAATGCCTAAAGGACACAAATTGATTGATTGTAAGTGGGTTTTTAAGGTAAAGAAAACCATTAATGTCAAAGCCAAGACAAGGCCAGATATGTAGCAAAGGGGTATTCCCAGAAGTACGGAGAAAACTATGATCAAGTGTTTGCGCCCGTGGTAAAGCAAACAACTTTGAGGACTCTACTGGCAGTGGCAAGCTATAAAAATATGAAAGTGAAACACATTGATGTTAAGACAGCTTTCCTCAATGGCGAGATAGATTCTGAAATTTATATAAGACAACCAGAAGGCTTCATTGAAAAGGGCAAAGAAAATTTGGTATACAAATTAAAAAGAAGCATCTTTGGTCTAAAACAATCAGTTCGCTGTTGGAATCTGTGAATTAACAATGTTTTAGTTAATTCTGGATTCAGAAGGGGAAAAGCTGATCCGTGCCTTTACGTAAAAGAACAGAACAATTCACCTGTTTATGTCTTAATTTACGTAGACGATATAATTATTGCCAGCGAAAGTAACGAGGAAATTGAAAATGTTGCTAAAACCATAAAGCAAAATTTTGAAATAACTGAACTAG